TATTACCTGGTGCATTGTTTGTACCAACCAGGATCTAGTATATTACCTGGTGCATTGTTTGTACCAACCAGGATCTAGTATATTACCTGGTGCATTGTTTGTACCAACCGGGATCTAGTACATTACCTGGTACTTTGTTTGTATCAACCAGGATCTAGTATATTACTTGGTGCATTGTTTGTACCAACCAGGATCTAGTATATTACCTGGTGCATTGTTTGTACCAACCAGGATCTAGTATATTACCTGATGCATTGTTTGTACCAACCAGGATCTAGTATATTACCTGGTGCATTGTTTGTACCAACCATATATACGACAGTTGTATGTGTTTCTGTCACTGTATCAAGGTATGGTGTTTATCATCTAATTATAACATAAACCGAAACAGGGCGTGTGTTGTGTTCACGAGTGGCGATGTCTAACGCACGTGTGTGTGTGTGTGTGTGTGTGTGTGTGTGTGTGTGTGTGTGTGTGTGTGTTAGAAGAGCTCCGGTTACAGTCAAGGTTGTTTACAACAAGCTTATTCCTTTTTAAGGTACCATATTACCATAATTATCTACTTTCTAGGTGATTATATCAGATTGATCTTTGTTCCTGAGACAGACCTCTTGGGCTTCTCAGATCCATAGTTGTTATATAAAATAGTTCATTGTTTTGGAGCAATTTTGATTCCATAAAAAAATGGCGAAATTCTCTCTAGAAAACGTCGGAATTATCTGTCGGCATCTCCCGGTGATAGGGCAATAAATATATTAGATAGATACGAGGTTTGTTCTGGGGTTTAAATCCGCGTAAATTGTAAATCCATGTCGTAAACGGTAAGTAGTTAAAGGGTTGGTCATCTGAAATAAACGAGGAACCGTTTGACATACAAATACATAACATGGCTGTGTATTTACACTTTCATTTCCCAAGTATATCCACCCATATGGACAAACAATTATATTCTATTTTAATATTGTTACTCCATAATGTAGTCCAATTCAGGCAATGATATATTATAAACTACAATTAGGCATTTGCAGGAAACAATAGTATTCAAAATCAAAACCACCAATACGCGTGCGCAGTGATTGTTGTTGTACGTACCAAAACAACCAATGCGCATGCGTAGTATTAATGCGTATTAGAGCGTCTCATTGAACGAATACTCAGATGTGTTCGACAAGAATAACGTGTTCAGGTCATGAGAAATCATTATACAGTATCAACCAGCATAATCGCATGTTTTCGCCAACATTGCATCTTTAAACAGCTCACTGACTTGTGCATTGAATGGGATTTGTTAAGCAACATTTTGCTAACTTGCAAAATGGTGCATCAATTTGTACGAAGAGTTGCAATATACTGATCTGGAATCTGGTATCTAGTATCTGGTATCTGGAAGCTTCGTTTGTGTGAAATTACCCACAGGGGATATTTTTGTCGGTATAGTATAAATGAAAATCGAGGTTTTTCAGTGTTTAGCTCCGCTGTCGAATTTTTTGAGCGGAGTTTATAATGAGTGATTGTCCATCATCGTCCGTCGTCGTCGTCCGTCGTCGTCGTCCATCATCGTCCGTCGTCCGCGTCAACTTTTTACCTTTTCGAATTCTTCTTGAAAACTACAAACAAGATTGCTTTGATGATTTGTGTATATGTTCCTTGGGTAGACCTCACTTAGATTTGCTAATTTCATGATGATATCTTTAATTCTCTAATTATGATGAAATTGTGTTTTGTCATGTTTGGTAAAAAGGAATATTTTCGACCCCTTATTTAAAAGGCCAATTGCTTTGATTTTATACATATAGATACTACATATGGACTTCTCCCAGATATGTTCATCGCGTGATGATAACTTCAATACTTTAATTTTGATGAATATTTTTGTCATTATTGGTAATAAGTAATATTTTTGTTAAAAACCGAATGTCCGATTGATTTGATATTATACATATTGTTACTACAGTCGGACCTCTCTCAGATTCGTTCATTTCGTGATGATATCTTCAATTATTTAAATGAAATGTCCATTGCTAACAGCGGAGCTATCTCAGTCGACAGGCTGCTTGTTTGTATGATATAGTATAAGACAAAATGAATACAGTCTTTAAGATTAATTGAAAATATATTTTTGTATTCTGTCTGGACATTGCTGTTTAGCATCTCGGTTTAGCGACTCTGTCGGTACTCATTCAAGACGGGTTTTCGTTAACCATTTAACCTTTAAAAATATTCCGCTCAGTAACAACCCCCCGGCCCCATGCTACCGTGAAACGCAACATGTTATGGACCTTTTCCGAGGACAACCATGGCCGAGAAATCAGTACTTAAATACTTCTAGTGGATCGAAGAGTCCCATTTTATTTTTTTCAATTTTCATGGAGAGCACTGACTCAAGTAAACGTGGACTTTTCTAGCTCCAGAAACTACCTCTAATATTTTTCTAAAAATTCTCCGTAAATTTCTGATATATTGAGCGTATTATTTGACCTT